GCTGCAACCTGGACTTTGGGACGCTGACCACAAGCCTCTGAGCCCAGTTCTTCAGACCCTTCTCAGACCACCACACTGGGCACTGACACAATCTGGATGTGCCTGGGTGATTATGAAGGATTATGCAATGTTCTCCTCCAACAATCCAGGGCAACCTTTAAATCCTCTTTCTGACAATCAGACATTGCCTAGAGAAGTGACCTCACACCTCAGCACAAGAAATGACCCAAAATACCCTGGATATCAAAACTGTAAAAGCAAAACAGTCACTGAGACACACACAAAGCACAACCAATGGGAAAAAGATGGTCCAATGTCAGCCATTGCCAGCTGGGAGGAAAGCATGAGGGGAGAGAATGTGATTAAAGGTACAACACCTCCTACTTGGCACAGCTGCAAAATGCAGACCAGCCTGCCAGAGAGTGGGGGCAACTCTTCCAACTCTTCCTCACATACCCACAAACAACAGCACAGAAGTACTGTGCATGGAGTGACCTCAGTGATTACCCCTCACTTCTCCAAAGTTTTGGTCACCTCTTCAGCCCACCCTGACATAAGCCATAAATACCAGAATATGTTCTCTAAAACTTAAAAACTGCCACCAAGGTCAGATGGATACAACCCCAAGAGCAGGACGTGACACTGCAGATGAGGAGGAAGGCAAGGAATCCCCAACTCATGACTTCCTATGCTGGGCCATTCATGAGAAGGAAGACAAAAACCTCCTCAAGCAGACTGGAGATGAGCTTGGGAGATCATGAGGGACTGGAGCCAAAAGTGAACAGAGACACCACGAGGCGCTTATGTCAGAGACAGGCAAAGACCTTCACTACTGTATCCAGGCCCGGTTTCAAGAAAGTGAAGGGTTTGTATGGTGCAATGGAAGACCAAAGTGTGCTGGGGGTAGTGGAACTGGAGCCATATTTCCTAAGACAGACCTTGGTGTATTTTTTCACCCACATCAATTGCCTGCACAAACTTGCCTTAGCACTGAGTGTAACTGGAAGAGTCCTCGGACAAGAAAGAAAGAGCTACATGAGGTTGCATTGCAAATAAAATTTATTGAAGAACAGTGAAAACTCAGGAGCAGGCAGTGGAAGGGAGCTGGGCTGAGTTGTGAGCAGGGTGATCATCAGCTGAGTAGCTTTCCTTGAAGATTTTGCCAAAGCATTGAGGCATTCTGGCCCCACTGTGGGAGCAGCCCAGCAGAGGTGAAAAATGCTCTCTGGCTTGGGAGAAAGGGTTTGCAGGAGACTGGACTGGACAGAGCAGAAGGGGAGACCCAGAGCAGGGAGCAGGAGAAGAGGAAGAGGCAGATGAGCCATATTTGCAGGCAGCCCAGGCTGGACCCTTGGCTACTGCTGTACTTGGTGCCCTGAGAGCAGCAGCTGAAAGCATTGAGCCTGTTTGAGACCCTTGACCCAGAGAGGCGTCCTCAGTGCCTGGGGTGTGTTCCAGGGAGTGCGTGGTTGGGGTCAGGAGTGGTGCTGAGGGTTCTTAGCAGTTGTAGCCGCCCCTTCTGCCATAGCAGCCCAGGCCTCCCAGCCCGTAGCCAGAGCCCAGCCCGTAGCCAAATCCACGGCCATAGCCAAAGCCACCAAAGCCACCAAATCCACCAGAGATGGGCTGTCCCTGCACACTGAGTTCAGTGCCCACAGCAGCGGAGGAGGTGGATCCAACAGCGGTGCTCTGGGGAAAGGAGGTCATGATGGGTCCAGGCAGGGTGACCAGCACAGGGGAAGGGTTGATGATGAC